CGCCCCCTCCCCTCCCACCCATCTACTGGGCCAAGAAGAACATGCAGACGCGGGGGGCCCTGGCCAGCCATGAGAAGGTGAGCCCCTCCCACATCGGGCCAGTGCTGTGGGGCGGGGCGGGCCTGGACCCACAGAACCCTCCGTCCAGGAGCTCTACGGCCAGCTGCCCAGGAGGATTAGCCACGCGTGGGACCTGGTGCTGATGCAGGCCCGGGAGCAGCTGCGGTGAGGCCCGCCACCCCCAGGGCTGCTCACGAAGCCCCTGGCCGGAGCAGCTGTGAGCCCCTCCCACATCGGGCCAGTGCTGTGGGGCGGGGCGGGCCTGGACCCACAGAACCCTCCGTCCAGGAGCTCTACGGCCAGCTGCCCAGGAGGATTAGCCACGCGTGGGACCTGGTGCTGATGCAGGCCCGGGAGCAGCTGCGGTGAGGCCCGCCACCCCCAGGGCTGCTCACGAAGCCCCTGGCCGGAGCAGCTGTGGGACGGGATCTTGGCTGCTGCCCAGGCCCTGGCCTCAGGGTGGGGGCATATGGTGGGGATTGCACACCCAGCTCTGCTCACTTCTTCCAGGGCAGCAAAACTGCGCAGGAAAGGGGACAGGCTGGTGATGGCATGCCAGGAGCGGAGGTACTGGCTGGTGAACAGGCCTCCGGTGAGCCTGGGGGGGTGTGGGCTGGGGGTGGGGCTCGGGACAGTGCTGGGGGGACAGGGCTGGGAGGGGACAGGGCTAGGGGGAGGACAGGGCTGGGGGCAGGGCTGGGGTCAGGCAGGGCTCCCCTGGGCAGGAGCAGCGATCAGGTCAGTGTGCTTGCCGCTCCCATCAAAGGCTCTCTCAGGGTCCCCCTTTTAAGCCCATGGGAACTCTTGGTCCTGGTGGAAGACACAGGTCTTCAGTGTGACTCAGCCCGGTTTCCCTAAGAACCACAGAGTCGGGCCTGAGGCTGCCCCGACCCAGGCCCTGGGGCAGGCCAGCTTCTCTCTGGGCCTAGTGAGGCACAGGGAAGCCACGTGGGCCAGGCACAGGGACTGAGGTCTCACCAGGAGGATCCGGGGTCCTGCACAGGCCGGGCTGGCCCAGAACCACGGTCTCGGCAGGGGTGTGAGGCCCCTGCCCTCTGGACGGTGGGAGACCCAGAGGATGTGGCCGGGCTCTGCAGTCCCCGTGTCGGCTTCCGTACGGAAGGGCAAAGCACGCCAGCGTGTGGGGTCTGGGTGGGAACCCGGCCTGGGGCAGGGGTCTCTGACAGCTGTCCGAGTGCATCTGCCTCATCTCACCGCCCTCTGCAGCCAGGGGCTCCCTGCGTGCTGGAGCAGGGCCCAGAACGGGGCTCCCGCATGGCCAGCCGGGTGCAGAAGGTGAGCACGGGCACTCTCCACGGCCCCGGCTCCAGTCCATGGCTATCTGTCTGGCCTTCGGTCACCCAGATGGCACTTGGCACAGCCCTCCGGGTCCCTGGCTGGCTCCCGCCTCACCTGTGCTTCCTGCTCTGTGTCGCCCTCTCTTGCTGCCTGCCTACTGCTCCTGGCACGAGTAAGTGGACTGGACGGGGCGGGGGTCTTCCCCGGGGCACAGCCTCAGGGGCAGGCAGTTGGAGGGATGACAGCAGGACTGTGGGCCTAAGGAACCTGGCTCAACCAACCACCTCCCTGCAGGGCCCCTGGGGGCCTCCAGAACCAGACGTCCTGGGTTCAAATCAAATCCCACCCACAGGGGCCCCCGGACAGAGCAGTGCCAGCTCAGCTCTCCCTCCCGACCACACACAGGTGACACTGCTCCTGGGCTGAGGGGTGTTCTGACAGCAGGTGCCTGGCTGATCAGAGGCCGGGCTCGGTCAGCCCTCCACAGCCACGGTGTTTAAGAAAAATTTAAATACATTTTAAAGTATGACATTCTAATCACAATTATGGAACTTCGAGGCAACTTTGAGAACTGCAGGTTTTATGGAACATTCTAGAAGCCACCTAGAAAGTCAGAACCCCATTCAAGGAACTCCTAAGGGCCGGGGCCTGAGCTGCTGTCATGCCTGGTCCAGCCCAGGGAGGGGCCCTTCAGCTGGGGATTTTGGGCCCAGCCAGGGACCTGCCTTCTTATTTATTTATTTATTTTCTTTTTTCTGGAGAGGTTTTTGCTATAGTGCGCTCGCCAGAAAGACAGAGAGAGACAGAGAGACAGAAAGTGAGAAATCACCCCCCAGGGGGGATGGTCACGCCGCAGTCCCTTCTCCTCCATTCTCCTCTCGGGATCTTGGGCACATGCACACATGGGCCCAGCGTGAGTTTAAGGCACCGGGTCTGGGACTCGTACCGCGGTCGACTACATGGGAGTCCAGCGACATAGCCATTACACTAACTGCTGGTCCTGGTACCTGCCTTCTTACCACCCACCTTCCCCTCCAGACCAAGAACACGGAGTTCTATAAGCGGGAGGTGAGTCCCACTGCAGCCCAGGCCCTGACTCGGGGCTGCCGGGCTGCCGTCCCACGGGAATGGAGGACTGCCCAGCCCAGCCCAGCCCAGCCCAGCCCAGGCCCCCATTTGGGCCTGCGGTCCCACGGGGTGGAGACTGCCGGGCCCAGCCCAGCCCAGGCCCAATTCGGGTCTCTCTCCTAGATTGAGTGCTACAGAAAGGCTCTGCTTAGGACCCGGGCGAAGTCCTCTGTCTGCCTCGAGGCGTGAGTAGGGTCAGGTGGTGGCTAGAGGCCCACCAGAGCCTGGACCGGTCCTCACGCTGGCTCCTGCACCGCCAGGCACCTGAAGTTCTGCAGCCAGCATGGGCCACACGACCCCGTCATGTCCGGGTGCCTGCCCAGTAACCCCTGGGTCACAGACGACGTCGCCTACTGGGTCACGAATGCACCCCTGTGAGTGGGCGGGGTGGGCTGCAGGCTGCGCCTGGATGGCCGTAGGCCAGGGTCAGCTCACCCCTCCCCCCCCAGGGCGTCTGCACCCACCAGGCTCCGCGTGGAGCGGTGGGGCCTCAGCTTCCAGGAGCTCCTGGGAGACCCCGTGGGGCGGGCCAGGTTCCTGGACTTCCTCGGGAAGGAGTTCAGCGGTGAGCAGCCCCAGGGCCGGCCGGCCCTTTCAGTTCTGCCCTGCCCGCCAGCCTGGTCCAGGCGGCCCTGACTCAGTCACTGCCCCCAGCTGAGAATCTGAGCTTCTGGGAGGCCTGTGAGCAGCTGCGCTATGGAGAGGAGGCCCAGGTGCCCGCCCTGGTGGACGCTGTGTACCAGTGAGTGCCCGCAGGGCGGTCAGCCGGGGGCGGTGCTGCCAGCTGCGGCACCCACGCATCCCCACCCCCAGGCAGTTCCTGGCCCCTGGCGCTGCCCGCTGGGTCAACATTGACAGCCGGACGATGGAGCGGACCCTGGAGGGGCTGTGCCGGCCCCACCGCTACGTCCTGGACGACGCCCAGCTACACATCTACGTGCTCATGAAGAAGGTGCGGCCGGCCCCAGGGCTGGGACTGCTGGCCACGCTGCCCTCCCCATGGGCCCGGGGCTGCCGGCTGCCGGCCGCCC